TTATTTCAGTCAGCTTGAAAACATGCTAGTAAACATGCAAACATATTGTAAAGGTTTAAAATTTGGGGTGTGTATACATATATCAACAGGAGTTATGAATTATGTATATTCTGAGCCTATATAAATTAGATTTTGAAGAACAAGCATCAGAGTACTCAGGAAGGTCATAATAAGAGATTCCATCTGAAATGTAGAAACTACCTTGAATAAATTATCCATAAGTTAACACTCTCATTACAATGACATATTTATTATTTCTGGGTTTGTGATGTTCCTTTAATGCACTCTGACTAACTGTTCTAATGGCACTTTAAGAAACCATTTCAGACTTTTTTCCCCATTGAAATTTAGCACACTTTATTTACATTTGAACTAAAATAATTTAAAATAATGTAACATTAAAATCAATCACCCACTTCCCAATGTGGAATACCATTTTCTTCTGCCCAGAAACATTTAATTAAAGCAGGATATAACTTCAGTAATTATTTTCACACAGAACGACTCTAAAATTAATAGTCACTTGTAAGACTGTTTAAAATTTGGGAGACTGACAATGAAAACAATCTTAAATGCTTTGTTTATGTGACGAAAAAGAGTGATCCTTTAATTCCCTCACACACATTAAACTGATTTCACAGAGTTTCTGTACTGGTGTTTAACATAGTCAAGTGCTTGAGGTTACACAGAATAAACAATCTTGAGATCTTATTGCAAATGTTTGCAATTTATGATGTAAACTGATTTGTGAAAAAATAACAGGATCCATGTCACTGAAGCCAAAAGGGCATTTTTCAGAAATCAAAATAGTTCCGAAATTTGAGCACTGGGTTATACTAAAGTATTACCATCTGAGGATCTACAAAGTTTTAAGTGTGGGGAAAAACTCAAAATAGATATTTATCAATTCAGATTCAAGCAAAGGCCTCCGATCTTACCGGGCCCTCCAGTATCTTAAGGTCCTTAATACTAATGATGTCTTGAATAATCTCCTTTAACTCGGTTTTCCCCCAGGGAAAAACATCAGGGATTTTGTAGCTCGGGAAGGTTTTGCACACCTTGAAGGGTCTTGGGGGGGGGAGGGGTTGGAGGGAGTGGCGAAATCTCTATTAATTATTTATTACAATTATTGAGTTCCTACCAAAACGACGTGCATGTTGGCCCTTATTTAAATTTAAAGCGAAGACTTCTTCGGACCCTTTCTCAGTGTGGCTTTGGAAACCCTGGGTTTGGAACGTCCCTCACACACACTCGGGAGCCTGCAGGCGAGTTTGGGTGGCGGCGCTGGGGGAAAACCCAGGGAGAGCGTGAGTGGGAGGCTGGGCCGGAGGGACGCGGCCCCGACCCACCGAGAAAGGCGGCCTCGGCCCTCGCTGAGTCTCGGGAGAGCGGACACCCCCGACGCGTGGGTCCCACAGGCCGCGCCCAGCTCAAGTACCGCCGACTGGGCCAAGAAACTTTGGCCTTTCTCGCCCGGCCTGGCCGCCTCCGCGGGCTCCCTGGCGTCCACCGCTCCCCGCACCCCGGCCCCCGCTGTTGCCGCGCCCAGCCCACCTCGCTCCTGCCGCCGGGAAAGTTCCGGGACGACCTAGGCCATGCTGTCGCGCCCCCGTCCTGGTCCCCTGGGGCCCAGATGTACTTGCTTCCTTTGACCTCAGGCTTCCCCCAAGCTAAGCTGCGAGCACAGGCTGGGCTTCGCGTCGACCGTGCCGCAGGCTGGACCCAGGACGGAATATCTAACTCCCCAGGACTCAAGTTCTCCCGTGACCTCCGACCTCCGTTGGGGTGCCCGTAGAATCAGCGTGGGGGCCTCCACTAGGCTTGAGGCTGGGAGCCTGCGTGTTCGGACCCTCCGGCCGGGCGCCGACGGGAGCGCTCCAGAGGCCGCCCGGCCAAGGCGGCGGGCTTCGCGCGGCGGATTCAAGGCGCACCCCACCCCTAGGCTGATGTTTACTACGAAAACTGAGGACTGCTAAGAGACCTGTCAACTTGTCAACTAGGAGACTTGCAAGGCCTGGGCGCTGAATACGGCCCAAGTCCTGTTCAGTGGTCTTTGAAAGCTAAAAAGATAAATATAAAGATATCACCCACTTCTACTCAGAGGAACAGCTTTGAGTGTGCGAGCTCAACCCAGGAGAAGGCCGGGTGGGGAAGACCGGAGCGCTAATGGAAAACGTCAGGCTTTGTCGAAGGGGTGGGAGGTGTCCACTATGCGGCCTCCGACCCAAAGGGGGCCCCAAGGGACACTGGGGAAACCCTTGATCTTCGCGGGGGATGCTCCCATCCCCAGAACGCTCGCGGGTAGGGAAGGTCCGGGGCCGCGTCTTCGCAGTCTCGAACCACACTTAAAACAGGCAACGCTTTCGGGTTTTACTAGAGGTTTCTTCCAGGAGTAGGGGGCAGGGGAGGCGGGAGGGAGGGAGAGGATCCTCGGTATTCTAAGGACGGCTAGGACCCGGCTTTTCCTAAGTAGGGCCTTTGCTTCTACCTTTTCCTAGATTTAACCAACGAAAAATCTACATGGGCCAAAGCGCTGAATTGGAGAGGAGAGGTGGAAGATTCGCCCCTCCCAGAGCCCCGGTTCCCTTCCGCGGCTTTTACCCACTCCCAAACCTTCAACCCTTGCTTGGGGAGGGTGGTCGACCTGTGGTCGAGTGTCCATTATGCCTCGATTAACCCAGGTAGATTTCGCACCCTGTGATCCCTCTTCCCTTTCTCCTCAAGCTGCTCCCCGAAAAACTTCAAAGGTGAAAGTGCAGCCCAATGAAGAATGAGAGTTTGCCTTGGGGAGTCCATTTTATATTATTTTACATATTACCTGTTCCTTTATTGGTTTGGTGTAAAATCAATCCGGTTCCTATGCTGGGCAGATAAAAAGTGGGTGGAGGTTGCGCTCAGCGATACTGAGAGCCACAGATCCACCATTCTCAAGGCCCCTTAAGAGCCGCACGTAGAAGCAGAAGCAAGCGCTTTTCTAAGTTGATGTATTCGAGAGATAGGTACACATTAATCAAAAAGGAAGAAGGAAAGACTATCCCGGATAGTTTAATAGTAACAGGAACAAAGATGACGCGAACCCCATCAAATGAAACAATACTATTTTCATTCAATTGATCGCAAAGTGTCTTCAATTAATAACTTGGCACTTATTTAAAAGGTTTAACAGAGGTGAAATCGAAACATTTTGTACCAACAACACATCATGAAATAACAGCATCTTCTTCTGTTTAAAATAACTTAATACACTAGAAAAAATATGGCAAATATAAATAACTTTGTTTTCATGGAGAACAAATAGTTACAAAGCTCAACCGCATACCAAAGTTCAGTTAAAAGAGCTTTTCCTCTTTCTTGTAAATTAGGAGGAAGAAGAAGAAAAAAAAAAAAAACTAAGGAGGCTTTCTAGTGATTGGGATACAGATTGCTTAGTCCAGGGTATCCCAGTTTAAATAGTTACATGAATTGAAACAAAAAAAATTTACTTGAATATACACCTTTGTGAGATAAAATGCAAATGTTGTAAGTCAACCATCAGTTCACACATTATAGCCAAAATAAACTTTGTTCGTGTGTATCAACATATTTTACACAAACCTACTGCCTGTATCTAGTTGGGTATTATTCAAGGTGAGTGTAACAGGATAGAGAGGGGGAAATAAAACAAGGTTCCCACGTAGGACATCAGGAAATCAGTAGGAGGGAATAGAAGAAAGGAGGGAGGAGATGGGACTAACATTGATTGAGCGCCTACTATGCGCCAGGAGCCCTCTGAGGCGCTGTACCTTTATTATTTCATTTGGTCTTCTTTTCTTTTTCCTTTCCCCACATTTTCTGCCAGCCTCCGTCTTCTTGGGACAGAGTGTAAATAGTTTCCCTTCCAACCTTTTTCTTTTGTCCAACAGGATCAAAGGGCAAAAATTATAGATTTGATATATATCAATTTCCAGATGCTTTTGGTATTGTTTTTCACACTGAAGATAAAAATGGAGTAAGTGCATGTGAGTAAAGCAGGGAGCAGGGAGACACCATCAATGGAATACAAGTAACATGCAAAACCGGAATTTACTGTCAGCAGTCTGGACAGTGCTGCCATAATAATTTCTCAGAGAAATCACAGTCTGTGATTTTAATATTTTTTGTATTAATATCATTTTTTTCTTCTCCTCGTTTTTGTACTGTCTTCCCTCTTCTTACTCTTCCATACGTGGTGGTTTTTAACTCAAAGCATCTGATTCAACGTAAAAGGAGGCCCGCCTCTCTTATCAAATTTCTTGTATTAAAGTGAACTTCGCAGAAAAAGGTCAGTTTCAAAACCTGTGAACTTCCCAGCTGCGCACTTTTTAAAATCTTAATTATTTAAATAAGTATACTTCTTCCTTCTGTTTTGCGTTTTTTAGCCCATTAAAAAAAACATACACTTTTAAGCTGGTACCCCCCACCCCATTCTCTCGAGATTCGTCTGGGTTATTCTCCCATATTTTTAAATGTATAAAATATTTTAATTTTTTAAAATTTGTTTTTGTTCCTTGGTTCTTTCTCCGATTTCAACTTCTGGTTAGCAATAAGTTTAGTTCCCTTCCTCCTTTTTCTTTCTGGTTTATCTTTCTACTTTTTTTTTTTTTTTTTTTTTGCTCATTTTTTATTAACTGGATTTTTATTTCTACGCAAGAGTCCATCGTTGCAGCTTTGCCGTGAGCCACACTCCGGTGTCCCAGCGCTCCCTTGTTCAGTCTCTCTCCAGACTTCCCGAAAACTTGCCCGTACGAAGCCAAATTCTACGCCCTTGGGTAAGTTTATGGTCAGGAGCCACAGAGCTGGTGCGCCTAGGGGGATTCGAGGTCCGGCGCGGAGTCTCGCCCTCCGAGTCTTGGATGTGGAAGGTGGCAAAGGGCGATCAGCGGGGCGGAAAAAGGGTCGGTTCCGGAGGTCCGGAGGGGTTAAACGGAAAGCAGAGGGGCACGGAGGGTTTGCAGGGTGCGCGCCGCGTTGAGGGCGCGACTTCGGCGCTGGCGTTGGCGTCACAGACCCAGGGCGGCAGCGTGCTTTTTGGCTTTCAGTCTGAGATCCGCGATGCTGGAGTTCTTGCTGGTGGTCTTGGCTGCGGCGGCCGCAGCCACCACAGAGGCGGCGGAGGCTGAGTCCGCCGCCAGGGTGGCCAGCGGCAGTCCGAAGGGCGGCGCCGGGAACATCATATAGGGCGCGTGCGCGGCCAGGTGCGGGTGCAGGTGGTGGTGCGCGTGCGCCACGGCGCTGTCCAGCTGCAGCTGCGCCTGAACCTGAAAGGACAAGGGCGTCACGTTGCAATGACTATCCTAGGGTGACAACAGAATAGAAACAGAGCATTAACGGCGTCCAGCTTGGTGAGGGGGAAGGCTGGGGCTGGGGACAGGAAAGGGGAGTTTGGCTGACCTTCTCAGTTTGTTACTGAGTCTGGGGCGCTGCGGGGATACTCCGGTGCGCCAGAGTCTCTGCAGCTCGTTCAGCACGTCTTACCTCCCTGGGCCCTGGGGGACTCCTGTCTGCAGGAATGTGGCCGCCCCCTCGGGAGCTGGGCCCATCAGAGGGCAACACTGCTACTGTGTTAAAACATCGCCCTCCTCAAAATTACAAAGGTAATTTGGAAAGGCTCTCTTGATGCCATCATACACCTCTTATCCATTAAAGCACTGAAGTAATAACAAGCAAACTATAAAACTTTTCCCCGTCACCCGGGGAAATTATTGCATCTTCATCACAATTGGCACAATTGTTAGTACTTCTAACCTTTACTGCTATAACAATTACCCTTGTTATAAAACAGATCTTCTTAAAAATGCAGATTCTACTTCAGAAGGTCTGCATTGGGACCTGAGATTCTGCATTTCTAACAATCTCCCAGGTGGTACTGGTGCTGCAGGCCTGCAGATCACTTTCTGAGTAGTAAGGGTCTCCTTTTAAGACCCCACTCTCTCTCCAATCATTCTCTCTTGCTTCAAAAGCCTAGCATCAGGATGTAAGCTAGAGTCCTGCAGTGTCAAGAGAGCTAAGATCTCCCTAACAGTAACCGTCAATACATGGGTACACCCAGATGTCTCCCCAGTCCAGGGTGTTGCCAACTGAGAGCTAATTCTTGACTTCACAGCCCTACCAAGCAGGGGTCCCGGCTGAGGAAGGGGAAGGTCAGGCGCTGGTTGGGTAAGGATTGAGCCCTTAGGCTGGGAAAGCAGGGGCGTTTAGAGCACTGGGATTTCCCAGGATTAAATCATTGCTGCAGGCTGTCCTTTTAAAATGTAGTCTTAAAGGTTTCTTTATGCCTAAGAAAGGGATTGCAGAGGCAGGGCATCCCTAGGAAGACCAAGGCTTCTCTCTACTAGAGATGAAGCTTTGTTTGCAGAGACAGCTTTTAAAAATCAAGTGTGAGTTGGAAGTACTTTTATTTATTTACTTTTCTTTTGTCAGAGACATTTATTGTGACTAAGGGGTAGGAATTACCTAGAAAAATATTTAGAAAGTTGCCTTAGAAAACACCTTAGGACTAACTTCTGTATTGGATCTGACAAAATCTTAATCAAAAGGCTTTTCCTTCCTCTCCCCAAGTGCAATCTTTAGTGCATTTTTAAAGGACCAGTTGCTGGCCTCAGGCCTCTGCAGGTTTCCCATGAGAACAGAAAGGACTAGGCATGTAGGCCCCCGACATTTTATAGGTTTTTAAAGGGGAGTAGATTTACTATATCATCTCAAAATTATTGTTCAACTACATGGACACCAACACTGGGACTCAGAGAGGGTATATTCAACAGTTCAAGCAAACATCCAGGTCTTTTTACAATTGAAAATTGGTTGAAACTGGGCTATACTTGCCTGCTGAAATGGCATCCTTAAAGCACCTACGTTGACATAGGGTGCAACTCTACAAGCTTCAAACTGGCTGGCAGCCCCTATGAGAACACCTGTAAAAAAAAGGTGGGGGGATAAAACACAATAATGTGAGGTTAATATTTCCAGCATTGTTTCCCAGAGTTCCAAACAATACCAAAATAGAATAAACTCCTTTGGAATTGGACTGTTATCTTCCTAAACAGCTGCCATAATGAAAATAAATGCACTCCCGAACTTTAGTACTCTCATTAACTGCTTAAAGGCAGATTTTATATAGAGAACAGGATTATCTTTCCGAGTTTCTTTCTGACTTTGTATAACAATATTACCCAGTTCTCTTTTTACTTAGAATATCAGATGTTCTTTGAGAAGCATACCTTTATGGAGTTGATTTTCTTGTTTTCTACATTTTGCTCTTCGATTTTGAAACCAAACCTACAAATTGGAAAAATAAAATAAAATCTAGATTTTATGAACTCAAACATTTTCCTTTAATTACCAGAGTACACTGAAAAAAAAAAGTCGTATTTTAGGCAAGGATTGAGAGATATAGCGAGCGATATTTGAATTATAAAAAACACTCTCAATATCCAAAGTCAAATAATGTAAATGAATGACAAAAAAGAATTTCATAGACTTTTGCAAGATAAATTGTTTCTTGATAAATTACTATTAGTCTTGGTTTCATCTTTCTACATTATAGAGTCCCCAAGGCCTAAAGCTCTCCCTGATACCTGATACTAAAGTGATAATGGGTTTAGATGTTTGCCCAGTAAGACCTGAGAAGAATGTGCTCATTAATAGCCTGTAATATTAATTAGCTTCATCTTCAAGAAAAACCAAACACCAAAGCAAATAGTGACTCTGTTTTGGGGGGAGTGGATAAGAGTGGGGGAAGAGGTAATTAGTGCCATAAAAGCCTCACTACAAAGAAGTTTAGAATTTCTCTGTTCCTCTGTGCAGTAGAGTGTAACACAGTAGCAGAATAATTGTGCCATTATCATGATAATCTAATTCGCTTCTACAGAAAAAATCCACTGCTTACGGTTAGGATAGTAGAAAATAACCCTAAAATTTAAATAAAAGTATGAAAAAATGAAGACCAGCAATAAAGTTCACTTCTTATGAGGGGAAAAAAAAAAAAGACAATATTCTGTGAAAAGGGGAAGGTATGAATCAAGTCACTCTGGATACTGTCTTCTCCCACATATTACCTTCGTAAATACATTTGCCAACTTTCAGAGGCAGTATGACAGATTTTTAAAAATTCATACAAAGCTTGTTTTTACACTCCAATCATACAGCATTATGTTCCAATAATACAGCATATTGACTGATTCACAAATTAAGGTTTGAAAAAAACTATAAAAGAAAAATACCGCTTCAGAGCTTTTTCTTGTTTTTGAAAGCAAGTGTCACAGTCAATATAAATCTTCAAAAATTCCCCTGCCATTTAGTGTAATAGAAGGGTAGATTTCGTGCCAGGGTGGTATCCTTTGTGTAACTCACATGGCCTGAGGCTTCTTGCCTCTTTTTTCCCCTAGAAGAGTTGGAACTGAGATACTAATGCTCATAACTGTAATAATTATCATCATGTCTTTAAGGGGTTGCTGAGCCTCTAGAGATTTGAGTACACACAGCAAAGCAGCAGAGGCTTAAAAAGGAAGAGCAGAGCCTTCTATTGACGGCTGTGATGACTAAGGCAGCCTATTATTACTTTTTCCCTTCAACGTGACTGCTCTGTTTTTGTCCTGATCCTATTACAAGATGCGGGAAGCCCCATAAGAATTGCATAGTTTGCTGCAGATGGTGGTCTCTTCACCCAGAGACCCCAGGAGTATCTGTTACAGTGATACTTTATAACAGCTGCAGATGTTCAGGCCTAAAACTGCTCCATGTGTTCAAACAAATAATGACCATCATTTTCTCCTATTTTATTATTTGAGCGGAAATATAGTCTGAACACTTAAATGTTTTCTCCATAAAAGTAGAAGGATATGTATGCATGTGTGTATATAATTTTCTACCTTAAATGCCCCCAAAGCCTATTGCCATTACTTCCACCCCCACAACCAGTGAAAAAACAAAAAACCTGCTCCAATTCTAACTTCATCACATATGGCACTTGTTGGGTGTTGGACTCTGGGAATGACCATATTAAGATATGTAAGTTGTTTTAAAATCAAGTTCTGTAGGTTCAGGTTTGCTGTCTTGGTTAAATGAGGGAACAAAGAGTGACCAAAATGCATTTCTATCTCCACTGTTTTACACACAGTTTGAGATCGACTGCTAACGGCAAACTGTAAATTTCCACACTTAACAGTTGCTAATTTTCTTTATAGTCTGTACATCTATAAACCTAATTGGCATATCCGCTTGGCAACCCTAGACCCCGGAGCAGGCCCTCAAGGAAAACCAACTCAGGAGAACAAAATATTCGTTGTAACTTTTAAGGCATCCAGAGATAAAATGTTTTCTGTGGGATTTTTTTTTAAGGCTTATAAAAGTAGGCCCATTAGGATTAAACCACATTAAAGGCATCGTAAGGCGAGGGGGGGTGGTGGTGGTTGTGGTTTATAGAAACTCTGGGAGCAAGCCCAGCACAGCTTTCTTCTGCTGGGAACATATGTTGGGATGGGGTGGGGGGTAGGCTACAAGACTAAGATTTACTTTGGAAAATAAGACCTCTAGTAAAGATATCCCATCCCTTCTCACCTCACTCCAGACTCTTGAACCCGCGCCCTCTGTGTTGTGTCTCCCAAGCGGCCTCTCTAACCCCACGCGTGCCCCTCCTCCACTCCCCGCGCCCTGCCTTGACCTCCTCACAGCTGGATACCTGCACTCGGGCTTCGGACAGTCCCAGCCTTTGGCTCAGTTCCTCGCGCATGAAAGCGTCTGGGTAGTGGGTCTCATCGAAAAGCCTCTCCAGTTCGTTGAGTTGTTCCAGAGTGAAATTGGTCCGACTTCGCCTTTGCTTGATTTTGGTCTGGCCTTCGTCCTCCATCCCTTTTGCATCCTCCTTGCGATCCTTCAGCTCTGGGGACACTGGAGGGGGCACCACAAATAAGCCACGCATATGTCCACGTGCGCACAACACACACACACACACACACACACACACACGCACGGACAAAAACAACACAGCAAATCCTGTTACTAGATTTGTCTACAAAATGATGGAGGATCCTGCCCCCTCCCGGAGTTCCTGTCTAGTTCCTCACCCTGTCCTGAGGAAGAGGATTCTGGAGACGCGAGAAGATCAACTCTGGGCGACCGCCTGCCCCCAGCTATCCACCCACTCACCCCTTCGCCCCTGTAGCCTCAACTCACCTCCTCACTGTTCGCTCCACCGTCCCCAGCCCTCCCCCGCGAGCACCAAATCCATTCCACCCAACCTCTCTCGCACTCACCCTCTCCCTTGCAGGCACGGAATCAAGAGCGCCGCGCCCGGCCAGACATAGAATCGGGTCGGGGCAGAAGGGCGCGGCGAGGCCATGCTGGCTTCTCACCGGCTACTCCCAGGATGCTGGGCTATTCTCAGGCCGCCGCTGGCTCTCTGCTTCTCTCAAACTTGCTGCTCTAATTTGGGAACAATTGGGCCCAAGGGTCGCAGCGGCGGAACAAGACCCGGGTGCTGAGCGGCACTGGGAGCCGCATCTCCGGGCTTTCGGTGCTGACCCAAGGCTCAAGCCTAACCCTGCGGAGGACCACTGGCGGCCAAGCAGTCCCTACCCCCCATGCCGGACACTGGGTGCCTGAGCAGAGGCACCCACGCCATGCTGGCTGCCTGAAGGGCTTGCGGCTCACGCCAGGCCAAAAGGCGAGAGCGGAGATAACTAGCTTCGCGAGGCGCGCGAAACAGACCGCTGCCTCAGTTCTCTCCTTCTCCCTCCCTATTGGAAAGGCAGACTCGACCCTAAATGCTTAAACCCACAGAGATCAACAGGTTCAAGCAGAACATTCGTGATCCTTGGTTTCTATTGGTTGCGCAAAGCCTTTTCATTCATCTAGCAGCTCGGTTGTTTAATAAAATATGCATTTTTTTTTCTGCTCTGGGTTTGTACACATCCGTTGCTACTTTACTGTCCTTTCTTCTCCCTTAAAAAACAGGAGCTCTGCGAATGTGAGCATACAGAGTCACCCGAGGGATATATATTTAGGCCAAGGGGCAGTGATCAGGGGAGCCCATAACAACATAAGCTGCCCTCTGGAACCTTCATCCTCTGCGCCTGAGTCAGAGCCTTGGGTTTTTAAGGTGTCAAATCTGAGTTTGGATAGTCGAGGCTGTTTGCAGTTCTTCCTAGCCCAGGATCCCGATCAGCATGGGTGTTAAAAATCATTTCCGGAAGAGCCAGCCTGCAGAGAAATTAATACTTGTCCTGAGCTTGGAAATCAACAATCCCAGGACTGTCTGCCCGGGTTCAGACCCTAACCGCGCGATGCGGCGGGCTGGTGTACCCTGGGCCTGGAGCAGCAGACTCACGCCTGGGAGGCTGCACTGGCCGCCTGACAGCTGTGCCACCATTTTCCAAATTTAGGAGGACCTGCTGCCTGGTCTGGGAGAAGAAGAGCCTCTAGATCCCAGCCCAGTCTAGCAGTCTAGCTACCATGATCTTAAGTGTTGCCTGCATTTCTTGTACTCAGAGTTCGTTTTATGGACATTCGTCCTTCCACGGGAGAAGAAGCGGATAGCATTATAGCTAACATTCGGAGCCAAGTTAATAAAATATTTCCACTGATATTGTAATGAAATTTAATATGAAAACACACCCTTCAGATTCTACTTAAGGGTTGAGAAGGCTTTGTCTATTTCGTGTCATCCACAGTGGATGCCTTTCAAACTTTTGGAGCTTCAAAGAGAAAGATGTCCACATTTCCACTTGATTAATAGACTTAATATAATCTCTATTTTCCCCCCAAATTTCATTTATTGGCCTAAACAGGAACAGACCGTGTTATAAACAACTTAATTGCTTGCTTAAATATGTGATTCTACGCATGTCACATATTTTCCTAATTGGAAAAATATGGCAGCACACCAGTTACTGCAGGAACCAAGTGCCAAATTAATTTTATTGTTGAACTCTTTTGAATTGGTACAGGACGCTCCACCATCTAGATAAAGCCATTTCCTAACACTTTGCTGGCACCAAAGGATTCCTCACACACACCCCCCCCCCCGACAAAACCAGAGTACTAAAGGATTCGAAACAGCAATGGAATTGTGTAAATATCGAAAAACCAACCCAAAAGGGAGCCTAACGTGTCTCCCGAGAGAACAGTCTAGACTGCCTTGGCCCCTGTTCGATCTTAATAGCTCAAAGAGAATGAGAAGTTTTGACCTCCAAGATCCGAGAAGCCAGGATCTTCGTGGAGTTCGAGTGGATCTTAGCCGCGGCCGGAAACCCTGGGGCGACCCGAGAGTGAAATCTCTCTCTCCTCTCTCTCCTTCCTGTCTTTTTCTTTCTTTCTCAGGCCTAGGGCTCCCGCAAACTCGGCGCTAGATGATAACCATAATCCCGCCGCCTGGCCCAGCTGCTGTCAGCACCCCCGCGGCAGCCCGGCCCAGCGAACTTCCCCATCCGCCCGCTGGCCGTCTGGGCTGCCCGCCCATCCTCCGGCTGGTGAAATGCGCTACAGTGGAACCGGCATAGCCAGAGCATCTGAGAAGGGCGCGCGCAAACCCCACGCCCCCCGTCTTCACAAACACTTGGACCCCACCCACGACCGTGCACACCACCGGACTCCCACCCCTCCATCATCACTCTAGCTTCCAAAGCTGGGGTCCAAGGGCCCTCTCCGCGTCCCGCCCCTCTCCCCGCTGGGCCTCGGGGTCGGGTCGTCTTTTGCCTGAGAGGAGTCAGGAACGCGGGAAGGGGAATCGCGGCTGGGGTTTTAGGCCGTTACCCTCCGTGAGCCGCGGGCTGCCAGGCTCCCTGCTTCTCTCAGCGGCGCCCATGTCCAGCTCCCGGACGGGAGAGCGCCCTCCTCCAGCTCCTCCGCCTGCTCCTCCTCCTCCTGCACCTCCTCCGCCTCCTCCGCCTCCGCCTCCGCCTCCGCCGCCGCCTCCGCCGCCGCCTCCGCTGGCCGCCCGGACTGCCGGGCTGCTGCGGTCGTCGCGGCCCGGCTCGGCGCAGCCCGTCGGCTCCTTGGTCCCGCGCAGCGGCCCGCTCTCCAGCACCTCTCGGTACGTGATCGCCTCCTTCTTCTCCTTCACTTTCTGGTCAAAAGACTTAGAGACGAACGCCGTAAGTTCTTCCATCGCCGCCGAAGCCGGTCAGCCCCGCGCTCAACCTCTCCCAGCCGAGCCCCGCTCTTTTTTTCCTTCTTCTTTTTTTACTGCTCCAGCCCCCCCAATAATAACACATCAATGGGGCAGGGGGTGGGGGAGGAGCTGGAGGAGGAGGAAGAAGAAGAAGAAGAAAAAGAAGAGAAGAAAGAAGAAAGAGGAGGAGAAGTAGGAGAAAAAGAAGTAAGAAGAGGAGGAGGAAGAGGAGGAGGAGGAAGAGAAGGAGGAGGAAGAAGAGAAGGAGGAGGAGGAGGAGGAGGAGGAGGGAAGGGAAGGGGCGGGGGCCGCCGGAGGGAAATGGGAACTGATGCTTCCCTGCCGGAGCGCGCTTGTTCAACGTTAAGATCTTTGACAATTCTTCCTGCGGAGAGTTCAGATCTGATAGCAATGCTGCGCTTGAAGTCTCACTATTTATACTTCGCAAAGGCGGCCTCTTGTTCTGAGTAAATTACCTCCCCTTCGCAACTCGGAGGGAGCCCCTTCCTGGGGAAGCACCCGCACCACTACCTGGGTGGGGGGTTGTTGGGAGGGAGGAAGAGAGGGAGAGAGAGAAAGAGGGAGAGAGAGAGAGAGAGAGAGAGAGAGAGAGAGATTGAGATTGATTGAGGCTGGAGTCCAGGCAGGCTGGAGCAGGAGTGGGAGGGCAGAGAAGGGGACGGGAGGGGGCGGGAAAAGGAGGCCGGTCCCAGGCCGTCCGGGTTTTCAGATAGCCTCGGCCGCCTGTGCTCTTGGCCATTAATCCAGGATTGACGAGAATCCCTAATTAATTTAATTAGGCGTGGATTTTGCGTTGGTGTCACGATTCAGTTAAACACTGGGGAGCTGGACCTACTCCGCCGGGGCGTGGCCAAGAGGAAACTGACAAGTGCGCGGCTTCGGGAGTCAGTCGGGTATCCGGACTGAGCATTCGAGCCCACAACCTCGCACCGCGTCAGGCTGCCGCGCAACTGCTCCTCCCCGCCTTGCTGCCAGGCTTCCTTGACCTGCATTAGGCGCCCCGCACCCCAGTTCCGTATCCTGACCCTGTGTCCCGATCCTACATCCTCCACCCTTCAACCCACACAGCTCGGCAACCTGAGTTCACAAACCTGCTCAGAGTCAGGGTCCTTCACAGCTTTCCAGACCCGCGCGGCTCCTTAAAGGGGCTTCCCGGCTCACAGCCAGAGCTGAGCTTGGGTCTTCACTGAGCTCCCCGCCCAGGGGAGTTTGTGATTCACCCCACTACTCGTGCCCTAGAGCCCAGGCTGACACCTCTACAGACAAACCCAACTCGTACGGCCCAGTCTATTTAACACATTTCCGGAGCAACTGTTCCCTGACAGATTTCATTTTAGCGCCTGGTCAAGGACAGTTTGACTTCGTTTCCTCTTTGAGGTCTCAGGATCCTGACCCCTTTTCCCTTACAACTCCCTGAACCCGGACCCCTCCCACAATTAACTACAGGAGGTCTTCTTTAGCATCCTCAGAAACATTCTAGTTGGTTTCCTAATCTTGAAAAGCGAATTATTATCCCTCTTTGAGTTTGAAAAAAAATTCATGTTAAGTTTATGCCCCATCTAATTTTTTTAAAAATCGTGGACTATTCAAAAAGAGAGTCACCGGGAGAAAGGTCTCTCCCCCCCCCCCCCCCCCCCCCCCGTCAAAGCCACAATTTAAAATTCTATTCCTGGACTATTTTCATCGAAATAGTTTGTTATATGGAAGGAACATCTATATTACTGAGTCATTTGTCCTGTGTAGGGCAAAGATTGCAGTGAGCAGTGTGACCATGTATATATCTCACACAAGAATATTTACATAGGAAAGATAATTACTCGAGCCTACAAACAAATATATCTCTCCAAGTGTGGTTTGGGGGACATTTTCAAGTAGTATGAATATTAATGCAGGTTTTCTTCTCATGTTAAATGTAACTAGTTCGTTTTCTTGGATCTGATACTCTCAGGAAAAATAAAAGCAGTTACAGAACTGTGATAGGTATACTTCTGCCCTTCGATTGAGGCATGAACAGATAATTTGAAAACTATCATCAAAACAATCTGAATCATTTGTAAAAAGAGAACAATTATATCATCAGTGGTTCTAGAATATATAAAAATAGAGGCTATATGTACCTTTGTCATTCTATATATACTACTCTTCAGATTAAAATGTTCACATTTAAGTGAATTTAAGGAAAATGAAAATCATACTTTTTAGGAATGTTACTTTGTCTTTTTTTTCTTTTGAATTCTGAAGTTGTTTCTTAAAACATTTGGTGCTATATTTAGGGGTAATAATTAAAATCTTTGTTTCCAGTAGCAATAGCTTTTAGGTATTATTTTATCACACTACAAAAGAGACTCACATACTCACATTTTTCAAAGATGTGAATTTAGAAACATGATTTTGCACTTAGTCTTGATTTACTACTTGTAACCACTTCAATTATGATATTATCAGAGAATAACCATAAAACTTTAATCCTTTATGAAAATCCATCTTTCAGGTTATTTAGCAGAATGACCAGGAATGGGGTCAGCTAAATAGGTGTGGTGCTCAAAGAGCTCTAAAACTGAGGTGTTAAATGTGTATTCACAAACAGCTCCAACATAATCACTATTAGAAGACTGGCAAGGGATCAGGAGACTCAATAGCTACTTTTAAAATTCTGTCTACTGAGCTTGAGGGAAAGATGACCACTTTAAAGGTGATCAGGGAAGTCTCAGACACAATCATCGCAGAACTCACACCAAATAGATTTTTCCCATAGATTTTCCTGGCATATGGGTTTTTGTATACATTTAGGAATAGTAGTGTTAATATCAGATGCGGATGTGAGAAATCTGCAGTGCCTCCCCACAAATTTCCGCTGGCCCAAGGGAAGTTTAGTTAAAAACCAACATCAACAAAGTTTTAAAATCATATGCTAATAAATGCTCATGAAGTTCTAATGATGTTTCATTAGATAAATTTTTCTTGAGACAGGGTTTTTCAAAATGTGGTTTTGGTACAAAGAAAAAAAAAAACCAACAACACTGAATAAAGTTTAGTTGACAGCCTGCAGACAGATACACAGGTTCCAATGAAATTCAGGACGCCAAGCTCCCCCCACCCCCAGCTCTTGAATTATTTAAAATAAACATGTAGTGTAGTAGTTAAGTTTTAAAACGGTCCCTCAAAACTGGTTATTTAAGGTAAAGTCATTTATGAGCAATATATTTGTGGAGGTGATTTTCACCCTCTCAAACCGTCAGCGGAAAACTCTAGCCTGGATATCTATCAGTTGTTGTGACGAGTTGGTTCTTGCAGTCGACCCAAACCAAGGCCAAGGGTTTATTCACCTCCTTTAGGTTTCTTACAGATAAATAATGTAGTATGAGTTACAGAAAATGCTGAATCGCTGTAATTTCTATTGGTTTAAACAACAACAAAAAATCTATACATTTAATTTCTCTTTCAGAAGAAACCGCGGCTCCCTGCCTCAGGCAGCCTTCTCCCATCCCTCCACCAACCCGTTAATTTTAATGTGGGAAACTAATTTGCACCCAACCTGTGAATACCTTCACCTTCAGGGTAGAAGAAACACCGATTTTAATGTATTTTTGCAAATAAATCATTAGAGTTTAATCACACACGACTCTATACAGACACACTCTCATGATTTATTATCGTTGGGCTAGTTTCCTCCTCCCCCAGAGTGAGATAACTAATTTTGCTACGTGTGGTGTCTTAAACATAACTTCCTACGATGCAGATTTGTTTACTGATTATCTAAGATGATAGCGACGGTTACTAAGGCAATAACACTTTTCAGTCTTCACCTTTATTGCTTTTCGGGAACAAAAAAAATCAAATAAGCAAGAACGCAAAACCAACACCAAACAAAAAATTGGCGGCGTGACAATCTACTCCCTCGGCACTCCTCTAACTCCTGGCAGTCTCTATCGATGCACTCGGAAGCTCGGCTGAGGCTGCCTGGCGCTGGAACCAGGAAGGCGGTGAGCTTAAACTGAACCAAGTTCGGAGGACCGCAGCGGCGCCCAGATTTGAAGGACGGTTTTTTGGTCTGTGGCGCTTGCAAGTCAACCGGAGGCGTGAAGCCGAAGGCCGGGACCCAGGTGATGGGCGCATCTGGAACCTGGGAGGCGGCGGCTGCGGGCTCAAGGTTCCGAGGCCCTGCTCCGGCGAGAAGCGGCGCGGGGCCTGGCGCAGTCCGCGGGGAAGGCGACGTGGAGTGGGGGTGGCGGAGGTGGTGGGTGGCGGCCGCGAGGCGTGCGGAGCGGCTCAGTACGCATGCGCCCGGTACCTGGCGCTTTCTGACCCTTGAAGTCCAAGCTGGGGACTTTGGGTGGTGGGTGCCTGTAGGGTACTGTGCGGTCGCAGGCCTCAAGCTAGGCCTTCAGTCTGGTGGTAGTGAGGAGGAGTTAACCAGCTCTAAATTCTCTTCATACCTAGACCACACCTCCATCTGCACCCCCAGTCCCTGGTCCTCCATTACTGCTTTTGGGTTTCTGTGCTCATCTTGCAGTGTGTTGGTACTTCGTCACTAGCTATAGTAGGATGGAGCAAGAGGGAGGCTGCAACCTGGTGCACTCTACCCCACTCACTCTGCTGTCGGTACTTGAGATCCACCTCTTTCCCTCCCTATCCCCCTTCCGCGCTCACACTCTTGCTGAGAGATAGGTGGTGCTGGGTGAGGTAGACTTAACTTCCTTCACAAATAAATATACTCGCTTTAAACCTTCAATTTCCTTGACCTCAGAATTTTTGGCCTTGTGGTCATATGACCACCTTTATGGGCTTCCTTAGGAGCACATGGCTACCCTTAAACTGTTCACTTTGGTGAGAGGTTATAATGCACTACTTAGACATGTTGCGGACGCATGATTTTAGATCAGCCTTAACATAACGTCTATTTTAGAGGTTATATATATTTAAATGTACACTGGAAGCCTAAATTTTTTGTTGTTAATTGCGTTTTCAGAATTAGCACCAAACTA